AGACTGACTAAGTCTCCAGCCCAGGCAGGACTGTGTTTGTCTCACACACACACACACACACACACACACACACACACACACACACACACACACTCAAATGCCCACACAAACCTATTGTTTCAGCAGCAGGATGTCTGTAGTCCTCTGGGTAAAGGTGTGTGCTGACTGTATCAGAGGACACTGTGAGACGGTGCAGTTTGTCAATGACCTGGTTCTGCTGCATCCAACAATTGTGAAGTTCACTTCTCAGGTGCATTAGACGCAGTGAGAACAGATGTACGCTCTAAGGGTTCTACATAGGATTCTATTGCCTTTCTTTTGGTGTTGAGGGTGTATTTAAAATATTAAAATCCAAGTTTAGGCTTGACAGTTAATTATTTACATCTAAATTTATTTCATATTGCATAAAACTAAGCAAAAATCTAGCACTTGAACTTTCCCCCCCTTCCACTCAAAAATTTGTTTTTCTTGTCCCTACAGTTGGATGTTTGAGCTTCACTGTATAGAGTTTGACACTAGAAGGATGTTTTCACATTCATTTGCTGAAAGTGGAAGGTTTCTCTGTGCTCACTGAAAATCTAAGAGGTGGGGCCAAAGAGTATGATTTGTGACATTACAAATAGTTTGGAAATCAATCCTGGTCCATTATGCAACTTATATTGTAGAAACTTGAATCCACCAGTGCACATCCACTGAGAATGGACTTTACAGTGAAGTAGGAGACACCTTGTGTCCAGCAGAAAACCTTTTGAAATGAACAAAATGTGCATATTCATAGTTTTCAATGTGGAAATTATACTTTTTGGCAGAAAAAAGGCACACATTATTGTTCCAAGCAGACAATTTGTATTTGTGTTGTAATACATGTCTGGAGGGGATCTTTTTTAAAATTTTCTCCCATGACAACCAAAAACAACCTCTTCAGCCTTCCCTTTCCCTGTTATTCTGTTGCCCTTCACTGTCTCCTTTCTTTTTTTTCTCCTTCTTTTTTTTTTACTTTCTCCTTCTGGCGCAAGAAAACCAGGGGCTGCAGTTTGCTTAGCTGAGTCCATAAAGAGGCGTTTTAAAAAGCTGTGTTAACAGACCAACAAAGCTTTAAATGTGCCCCCCTCTGTGAAGGGGTGGTTCCCATAGGGATGTAGCGTGGCGCTCCATTGGTAGGCCTCTATCCGGCCTCTCATTCAGCCCAACGCTCAGTCACGGCCACTTATGGTAGGAGGGAAAATCACACAATTCAGCCCAGGCCTGATCCAATGACATGTTTTTTTAATGAGGTGGCTCTATGTCTTTGTTTGGGCACCAAATTCAAGTCCAGACCTGCGCGAGTCCTGCTGAATACGATGCAAGTCCATTGCCAGGCACAACTCGCAAGAAAAGCACAAAGAGATTGGCTTCTGTTGAGCCAGTGAATAGCTCTCCACTTTGCACTGTTCCTCACCAGAACATCACTGGTAGCAAGCATACAGATCCTGGGAATGTATTTGAGTTTAGTTTCTTCTTCTTTTTGGTGTCATCTGTATTAAATCGTATAAAAAAGGGGCTTGAAAGCTTTAAATTTGCTGAAGGACAAACTCAAAACTCAGAACAAGTGGCGGTCAAAAGAAGCACCTGTTACTCATTTCTAGCTCCTCCAGATATTTTTTCCAGGGTCATACACAGAGAGATTTCTTTCTCTTTCATTTTCACTGGCCCAAGTGTCTTTTTCAGAAAACGCCACACCATATATCACACATATGTGCACGTGTCATACGGTGTGTGTACATCTGCGAACATGCTAGCCACTCACTGGCTTGTATGTTCAGGGGTGAGGACTGTCATTAAACTGTCTGTCTGCATCATCAGACTCAACCATCACCCTGCCCGGCTGTCCATTCTGCTTCTCCCTGGGCCTTCAGACAATACACACACACACACACACACACACACACACACACACACACACACACAAATTCACTTGGCCATCAGCCAGGATTCGCATACACAAAGCATAAAGTATGTCTCCTCATACTCGACATGCAACTGATACACGATTTGGAAGGATGAAATTAATACAGAATTTTTTGATGCAAAAGCTGCAGATAATTAATACTTTGTGCCAGTATTTATCTTTTTTATCGTTTTTTTTACGCCGGAAATTAAAATTAGTACACATTGTTCCATTTGAAGGATTTTTAGAGCCAGAAAGAAATCAAGTTTACAGTATTTCACAAGAAACAAAAATATTAAAAAACTTATTTTTTCTATCGTATTCTTTCAAATCCCTTTAGATTTTTAAAGGAACCCTTTGGGGGTTCAACCCCCAGGTTTGGAACTGGTTTCAATAATTGTGTGACACTAAATGTTTACATTTAAACCCACAGGAATGGAAGTCTTTAAGGGTGAATTAGTAGTTTCGTAAGTCAAGGTTACCACTTCCAATTGCTATCTTTGTTTATTTTATTTACTAAATAAGAAAAACAATAAAGTCAACTAATTCCACTCATTAAAATTAAATATAATATTAAAAAATCAAAACCACTCATTTTGCAGCTGTAATCTGTTTTAAAGCCTCCATCATATCAGTTTAACACCACAATTCACTACTCTGGCCCAATGAACCTCCCTGCCTGGATGCTGAAGTATTCTTCTAGCCTCTCATACAACCAACCCATCAGCCAGGCTACTTGTCTCCGATTTAGTCCGACTCTGTTCTTTGCTCACGTTCAAGGTTGTGGTAATGGAGAATTAGTATGCAGAGAAGCAGCCAGACGGCCATGTGGATCTAATAGGTAGCCAGACTGGAGAAGAAGACTGGAGTGGAGTGGGGTGGGGGGGTGGGGTTTTGGGGGGAAGCATCTCTAGCGAAGAGGGAGTTAAGCATGGCCTCCTCCTGTCCTCCCGCTCCCTTCCCTCTCCCCTTTATCGCCTCGTTCCCCATGCCCTGTCCCAAACCTTAATGGGACGTCAGACGGACAGCCTCGCCTGAATTGAGCAGGGAGAGCAGCCTCCACCCCCCTCTTGTTGTCTCCAAAAAAAGAGAGACTCCCCCATACCCCTACCTTCCCCCCATGCCCCTCTTGCTCTCGCACTACTAGCACCCATAGCTGCTCCCCTTGGTTGTAAGGGGTATTGAGGGGGTCCCAGACACCCTCCACTCTTCAGCCCCTCAGCCTAACTCTGCATAAATTAGGCACGTCTCCCTGGTGTCTCGTCAGCCGGTCGGGGCAGCCCTGGCCCCAGGTCTGCTGTCTCCCAATCTGCTGCTCCTTCTCCCCTAATTCTGTCACCTTCTGTCTCCCTCCACCTCCCCCACCTACTGTATTCTGTCAGTCCCCAACATCCTCAAGCTAATAGACCCGCTTTCTTCAAATCTCCTCTCTTTCTTGTGTTTGTTATTTCTTCCAAAACCGCCATTGCTTCCTCTCCTGCTTCTTTTTCGTCCATCCTCCACTTCCTCTTCTTCTTTTTTCCCCCCTAAATCCCATGACACACTCACTCCCACTTACCTGCTTTATATTCTCCACATTTCTCTCTCTCTCTCTCTCTCTCTCTCTCTCTCTCTCTCTCTCTCTCTCTGTCTTTACTTTTCTCTGTCCTTCCAGCACTGTGTTACCCAGATCAACCAAGCACTCTCCTCTCCTTTTCACTTTTCAGCCAGGATATTGTTTACATCTGTCTTGCTAATCACTGGCAGAGCCTCTCTAGACCTCACAGATGTTGCAATAATACAGGGGATTAGCAGGCTTAACACTCGGGCTTATTTGGGGAGTTTTCCCGATGGCCTGACAATGAAGCCCCGTCAGCTCCTCTGAATTTGACCTTTTTCCTGTTTCACTCTGTGCTGAGATCCTGCAGTCCCGCTTCTCTTTGATTTGTGATTTTTTTTACAAGCGTCTGGCATGCTGATGTTGTTTTTTCCAGATTGGTGCTCTGGGCTCTCACTTCCTGCAGCTACATCAATGCTGGGGTTAAACGCAATTACAGAGCTAAACTGCTTGACATATGACAGGGATGAGGTTTAGCAACAAACAATGCTCTTTTTTTAGCTGCTCTTTGAAAAATGTGAATGCCTATAAAATTACCTATGCATATTTGTATCAGTCCCATTTTAATTAATTTGAGCTATTATAGCTGCCTTACTGATTCCATTTGTATTCCCGGGTTTCCTTTATTCTTGCAGCATCAACACTACAGTATAGCTAGCTAGCAGTATGTTAGCTCCTGTCTCTGCTCACCATGGTGACGCTTGAATCTCCTCAGTCTCCTCTGCACCCCTCTTTAACTCAGTGCTGAAAGATAATTAGATGGCCTTCTCAGACTCAGCATCTCTGCTGCCTCTCTCTGGATCATGCAGTGCAACCGAGTCCTGTTTTATGACCAAGCAGATCTAGTGTCTGAGACACTCACTGTGTGTGTGTGTGTGTGTGTGTGTGTGTGTGTGTGTGTGTGTGTGTTTGAGGTCAATGTATTTCTGTCTGGATCCTAATCCCAAAGGTGATATTAGTCTGGTAGGGGGGCAACCCATCCCCCCGGTGCGTGCGTGTTTATGTGTGTGTTTGTGCTGGAGGCGTTGGTTTCAGCCAGGAAGCCCAGACAGGCTCTACCTTGACCTTTGACCCATGACTGTCTGCTAGCTCAGGGGTCATGCACACCATTGATACAGACAGCTGATAGACACACAAACAAACGCACATGCACACACACACACACACACACACACACACACACACACACATGCACAAACGCACAACCCCCCCTCCCATAGTAAACATTAACAGTTTGGTGTGTCTGGAGGGATCATGACACAAACAGCGTCAGCATTAGCTGTACGCTGAGAGCGCATGTGCATGTGATCCAAGCACAGATAGTGATTCCTTGTTTATACGTACAGCTACACTTGTCTACTCAAGCTTTTAGATTCCAATTAGAGGAATATGACTTATCACTTAAAACTTATTGCACAATTTAAGGAGTCTTCTTTTCACTGATCGCTCTTTTTTTATTTGCTTATGTCTTCACAGATGCAGCCAGTCAGAGACGCCACCTTGGGGATGAAAAGCAGCGATTGAGCTTCCACCGCTGGGCCTTACTCTAACAAAGCACACACGCTGTCCATAGCCAGTTCCTCTGAACATGTTTAGCCTCGGCCACACATGGAAAATGCCACCTCTACACCTGCACGAACAGTCAGTTAGATGCACATCATTAGATATGATTATCAGTTGTCTAGTCTGCGGTCTTTGTGGATGTGGACAGGTAAGTCGGAGCCGCTTCTGAAAGGTAAGTTTAGAAGTTGAATCAATTTAAGAGCTGTCTGAAGTGTAAAATGGAGCTGCCGAGCAATATTTCCCAAAATTAGTTTCATTAGATATGAATTACTATGTTTGAGACCAATTTTAGGTCGGAGATTGGATGAGACCCCAAGGGGTCCTTCTTTTCACTCAGTAATTTACATTGAAGTATTTGACTGGAAAATCGTTTGACAAGAGTTTGTTTCTGTTGAATTACTTTTCCCTTTTCTGTGGGATATTATGTACACATACATATTTATACAATATTTTTCATAGTGTAATGAACTAATTCATCGTAAAATGTTAAATGGGATTGCCAAATGCGGAAAGTGTTGCCCTGATATGATATATATTTTCAATAAAGTTGAACAATTTGTGAATTGAAAATTGGTCTTGTTTCTTTCTCTTTTCTATTTCATTCTAGTTTCTATGTATGTCAGTAAGGTTTGTTTGTTGCTGAGATTGTAGCTGAATCTTACTGTTAAAACCAACAATGAATTGACTCCTGTGTATCCAAAGTTTGATATATCTAGTTCATCGGGGCTGCAGACCTCCGTTGTTGTCAAAAAAATGTTAAAAACTCATCAAATAGACACATTATTGCACCGAGTGATATGTTCCTTCATTACAATGAACATGGGCACAGTAGTTTATTTTAAGTCAATCCCACATACTTTCCTGGTAAAGAGTTTTTCAAATATGTATTATAGTCCTCAATAAATACAGTATGTACTACTGTTTGAGTGACGTTTGCTAAAAACTACAGTGTCCAACTGATTTTGATTTAGTTTTTTTTAGCCTTTAAAAAAAAAGAAACTATATAATTGTGACCCATGTTTAAAGATTTACGTCTTCAGTAGGAACCAATGAGATTGGGGCTCTTAGATTAAGAGACAATCAAATTGGTTGGTTTTGGTCTTTTCTTGGGATTTGTTGACAGTAATAGAAACAAATACGTATTGCCAGCCATTGATGCTTCATGTACAAGTATCATCTAAGATGTGGTATGAGAAGCTTTAGGAGCCTGTTCACTTCGATTACTCTGATTATTCCAGCAGTGGCTGAAGGGTTGGAAGTGGAACAGTTAAACCTAGTGGCCTAAATCTGTGGTGTCAATTAGGTGTCTTTGTGTGTGAGCAGCAGGGGTGTTGAAGCGAGTTGCTGGAGCTGAAGGAAACTCTGAACAATGATACACATTTATAACCACATACACACACACACACACACACACACACACACACACTGGTCCTATGTTTTGTGGGGATCACACCTCCTTTTGTTTTCCCCCAATAGCCAGTAGAGGCGATGCCCCAGTGCCCCCAGTGTGCTCCACTGCTCTGGCTGAAATGGGCTCCCTGCTCCCCTCTTGCACCCCCCCACTTTCCCCCTAACAACACTGTCCCCTCGCTCGCTCTGGGTTCCCCAGCCCTCGGCCTCCCCCTGACTGGTCCTGACCTGAAATAAGGGCCAGGCAAGCCTCCATGGCCAGGCCAGCATAAAAGGAGATCTGTGTGTGTGTGTTTGCGTGTGTGCACCATGGCCCTGAAAGAAAGTAGGAGATTATCCCATTCTGTGTGTCCAGTCACCAATGCAGTATTGACCATGGTGGGCCACCCAGGGAGCGTCCAGCCAGCCGTGAGATGGCCTGATATACATGCTTACTGGCCATGCTAGATTCCCCCACTCTCACCAGGGAGAAGGCCGAACCCTACAGGCTGGACGCTTTCTAAAGACACTGGAGTCTGTACGCAGAGTGACCCACCCTCTTTACACAGATGCACACACACACACACACGTACCAAACCACACACAGGCACACACACTCACAAATTTCAGCGTGGCCTCTGTACAGTGAAAGACATTGCCATCAGGTCGTTTTCTGTGTCCTGTGAGGCGAGGCGGAGGTCACTGGGAAGGTGGAAAACCTCTTTAATGGTGGGAATGATACCATAACACCTATAGATAGAGTTACGGATCATGTCACATATAGTCTGTATACAGCGTACGACTCTGACAGCGAGGCCTTCTCACTCCTGATGGTAAATGTGAAGACGAGCGTGAAAAAAATGAAGCATGTGTTGAAAGATAGAATTACTTGTTTCTCTCTTTTTTTTTTTTTTACCACTTTCTCATCTATATTTATTCTTTACAGTTTTTTTCTTTAATATGTCCTTATAACATCCTTTTGATCACTATAACATTAATCGTAATCGTAGTTGTTTTCCCCATGTTTTTGCTGTTCTACACATGCTGATGGTGACTCTAAACCAAGAAATACAGTGAATAAAATATTCATGTTTAAGCTTTTGTTAATTAAACTTTGAGCTTTTACCCCAGAGAAATTATTATGAACGCAGCCTCTCAGAGTTTACCAAAACTCTTTCTAACCTGTCCACAACAATGATTTGTAACAGCTCTCTAAGTTGTAAAAGCAGCCCATTGTTGACCTTAACAAACCCCCAGGGGTCAACTAATTGTCTTTTAATTGCTCAGCTGTTTGTTTGTGGATGGAGAGTCTCTAACATCCTGGTCAGTTAACAACACAAAGGCCTTTAACAGCAGGACAGAGCTGCATAAAGCTCACTAGCTGTAAAAACAAATAAGAGTATTTAGAGGGGGGAGTGTGTGTGTTTTTTTTTTTTTACTGCATATGAACTACGATTAAGGAGTTATCGTGTCACAATAAAGCAGTGGAAATAAACAAATGCAACTGATTCTTTCTTTGTTTTGATTTGTTTTTCTTTGATGAGCAAAATGTGTTGGAATAAAAAAGCTGGAATAAAACCACAGGCTGTCATTTAAAATGATCAAATTATTTATTTTACATGAACAAAGTTAAAATAATTTATATCATGTTATTTCTGTGACGCAAAGAATAAAACGTTTCCCAATATTTTGCTGTAATAAATGCAGGCCTTCAGGTTTTTAAGCATTCTTTTTTTTTTTTTTACACACACGCACACATTCTCTGATTGGCTAAATTTGCTCATGAGGCAAATTACATAAACAGCCCAGAAAGATGCACAGAGAAAAACTGATTTTATTAATTACACAGAAAAAGGGAGAGGCGACAAATCATGGGCACACTGAATGATTTAATAAACAGAACATAAAATGCTGTTATTGGTTCTGTTGAATAAAAAGACTAATAAACTAAACTAAAACTATTGTGCTCAAATTGCACTTACATTAGTTTGAATAACTACTTATTAAATGAATTGATTCTTTTTATTAACTGGTCTCTATTTTCTGTTTGGATTTCATTTTATTTTTTATTTTGCACAGCTGTTGAATATTATTGCATCTTTATATATATTAACATTAAAAATGACAGTCTGGTGCTTTTTATTAACATACTCTAATGTACTTTAAAATACAGTACAGTTTAATTTTCCAAATTGGGCTCATTGAATAGTATCTTAATAGTCCATCAGGACGCAGAAAGAGCACATTAGTGTGGAGTGTATTCACGGCCCTCGTGGGTCTTTATACTTAGACAGTTTACACAAACACTGCAAGAATATATTATAATATACAACTCTGGTTAACAAAATTCCATTATACCTAACATAATATAAAGCATAAATTCACATAAAACAGTCCAGTTTTAATTGTATCTATTCATTTCACACTTACATTATGGTGATACTGACTCACAAGGAATTCAATCCACAATAAGCATAAATGCACTCAATAAGCAAGCAGAATAAGCATGTATGACAAAACGTGACATGTAAAACAATAGAACAGAATGAAAATTAGGTGTGTTTTTTCATGTGGAATGAATGACTAAATCTTTTTTTTTAACTTTGTGTTGGTGTATTAGCATCCAAAGCATTTAAGTTCAGCTGCGACCCACTGTTGTGCCATCCCAGCATGCACACATACAAAATGTATTTCTTATGTAAGCGTTCTAATTTCAGACCCCAATGACTGTTTTCACATTCACGTGTAATGAAAGGCTGACTTTGGAAGCGTGTTGATGAGGTGTTAGAAGGTAGGCAAGCAAAAAAAATGTCCAGAAAGACTGTGGATGAAACCTGCAGGTTTACAAATTGTGTTTGTTTGTGAGCTTGTTTTGATTTTAGTGACATAAAAATTTCAAAAATATTAAAATTAAAACCAGTGCTCAAAGCTCGAAAGCTTTATGTATCTATGTATGTGTGTGTGTGTGTGTGTGTGTGTGTGTGTGATAGGCAGAGGTCGTCTCCCTGGCTCCCCTGAACTTGGTAGCCCCCCAGACACCTCATAAAATCTGTAGGCTCAGCCCACAGTGGAGCAAGTTGAGGGTTAGGGGATTTACCAGGACATGGATGGGTCGGTTAGACAGAATGAGAGGTCGGGGGGGGGGGCTGCTTTAAAAAAGTCCAGGAACTTGGAGCCTAGTTTGTCATGCTAACTGCAGCGATGCCATTGAATGTGGACACAGGGAGCAGAAGGTTCACAGGACCCCAGCCATTCTCATGCAAAGTCTGTCAGAGCTTTCTCCGTCGTCTGTCCACCCACCACCCACCCCCAGCCTTTGCTCTTGCAGAAGAAATACATACATGTTTATAAATGGGCACACACACTCGCTGAGGCCTGGGTAGTGTGCCCCTTTCTTTCTCCTTCTGTGCACAGTCTGCAAATATATGAAGTTACAATGGAAATGAATCCATTTATAATATCGAAATGACTCAAAAAATATGATTGCAGGCGTGAAAATGCATTAATAACACTATTATCTTACAGCTTTCATTTGCAAGAGGCTTTTAGACAAAACATGTTAACGTTTTAAATATGGAGTAACATAAATGAACACCACACACTGAAATTGAAATTTTCAGGGAGAGGTTTGGGATTGAAATGCTGCACCTCAGCAGCAGTCAGACAACAGAAAGAGTGAAAAAGGATGAAAATGAAGTCAGGCGCATACACTTAATATATCATCATAATTATAACATCGTAGCAATGAGAGAGGAATTACTGCACCATTAACACTCATCTTAACTTCCAATGACCTTGACACTACCTTGACAGTCAGTGGCATAAAACTGACCCCATTTCCAGGCTGATTGTGAAAAATAATTTTGTACCGCATGTTCCACACAAACACAAATTCTAATTAAATTTCTATTTTGGCATTAATTTAGCCGCAGTCCCTGATTCTTATTTCTACTTGCTGCTGGTCTCTACCGCTCACCTCTCATCTGTTTCACCTGATCCAGAGATCGAGGGGAAGCTACAACTCATTTAGTGTTGAATCTGTTCAAATGCCAAGTGGTGAAAATGTCAGCTGCAGTACGTGCACACACACCTATACATTTACTCTCTTCAAATGCAAACACTTCATGCAAATGAATCTGTTACCCCCCCTCCAGGCTCCAAACAGTGGACAAGCACATACT